ACAAGCCCGCGCCGCCCAAGGACAAGCTGCCCGAGACGCCGCGCCGCCGCATGAAGAAGAGCCTGTCGGCGCCCCTGCAGCCCGACTTCGAGGACGCCTACAGGTTCGGGGCCGAGGGCCGCCGGCTGCTGCTGCGCGAGCCCCTGGACGCCATGCCCGACCCCACGCCGTTCCTGCTGGCGCGGGAGGCCGCCGAGGTGCACCTGGTCAAGGAGCGGCCCCTGGTCATCCCCCCGATCGCCTCCGACCGCGGCGGCGGCGCCAGCGAGCAGCAGAGCCCAGCGCGCGACAAGAAGGCGCACGTGGGGGTGGCGCACCGCATCCAGCACGCGGCGCCGCCGCCCGCGCAGCCCGAGGTGGAGACGCTGGCGGTGGACCAGGTGAACGGGGCCAAGGCGGTGCGCCGGCGCTCGGGGACCGACAGAACTGTGTGAGCGGCCGGCGCCGGAGCCCCGGCCGCCCGCTCCCCCAGGCTTCCCGTGCATGCCGCCTCCCTTCCGGGCCCTCGAACAGGCCCCGTAGGACCGTGTCCCCTCCGCGGCCCGTCACACCCAGGCTGCGGCCACGGGCCTCTTCAGCGAAACGCTTGCTTCCAGCGCGCTCGCCCGCAGCGCAGGCCACAGGCCACGCCCTCGGCCAGGTCAGAGCACACCTCAGGTCCCTCCCCGTGGTCTCCAGGGTGGCCTGTCCCCCAGACCTGCCCCTTCCCGACGCAGCCTCCCCAGGGCGGCACCGATGACGCGGCTGTACGTGTATGTCTCAGGAGCTCAATAAGACAGTTACTCTCCCACCAGACCGGAATGTGTGTTCCTATTTTTTGTTAGTTTTATCCAAAATGTTCAAGTTCCCAACAAACTTTATTTTCTAAACCTGCCTTCTTTCTGTTTTGTCTCTTTTATTAAACCATGGCGGGGTGGGGGTGGGGGGGGGACACACAGGTCCAGAGGTCACTTACTGTGTTGCACGGTCCACACAGCGCAGTCCCCTGGCGGTGACGTCTTCACCTCTGCTGTCTCGACGCCCATTCCTAGACGCTCTGCTCTCCAGAGGTCCTGGCCGCAGCCACTCAGCCACCTCTGCCCCTGCCTGTAGCCAGCCTGGCCAGGGCCTCCCGCTCACCCGGCCTTCAGCCACCCTACGCCACACAAGGCCAGGTCCGGGGGCCAGGACCTCAACATCCATTGGACCTGGGCACGGTTCTGGAAGGGAGATGTGGCCGGCCCACCACCCCTGCTCCAGGCCCAGGTGGCTGCAGGGTGAGGGAGGCAGGGCTCCGCCAGCCAGGTCCCGCCCCAGCCCGGGCCAGGTGTGCTGCCCCCACCTGAGCGATCGCACCTGGGTCGTCCTTTAGGCGGCTTGGGAGGGTTCTCAGCTGTGCCCAGGCCGTGCTAGGCACCTGTGCTGAACCAAACCCGTGCCCCAGAAGGAGGAGAAACGCAACATGCCTGTAACGTTGTATAGTGTTTACTTTGTGAACACAGAGTCCTGAGGGAACAACAGTTGAAGGACAGTCATTTGGGCTCATTTGCGTGGGAAGAGATTCAAACTGCTGCCGTGACGTTCCAGGGAAGTAAGTGTCGGGCCCGCCTGTCTCCCTCGTGCACCTGTGCAGGCCCTGAGAGGCCCCAGAAATGACAGCAGGCCTGCCGCTCCTTGGAAGTCCCCAGAACCCCCAGGGCCAGCGGCAGGGCGAGCCCGCAGGCTAGTCAGCATTCAGGGTGAGGCACACGCCCTGCAGCACCCAGTGCGAGATGTGCCGTGTGGTGAACAGGTCGGCTTCGAACACCAAGCCCACTCCCATGGCGTTCCTCCTCATGGAGGTGGTGTAGACGGGCGTCCGGAAGGTGTTCTGCGGAGGAGAGGCAGCCCATGGACACAGACCCGAGACGCCCCCTTCCGGGGAGGGAGGAGGACATCCACAGGGCGGCGAAGGCAGGGCCTGGGGCAGGGCGGTGCCTGTGAGCCGTCCAGGGCACCTCAGCTGAGCGTTACGGCCGTGGGTTCTGGCTGCAGCCCACACCACAGGGAAAGGTGTTCCGGTTCGAGCGGCTCCCAGCCAGTCTCCCAAGGAGGGAGGCGGGTCCTGCCTGCGGCTGGTCGAGCCCCTGGTTCTAGAGTTGTGTCAGGGACACCTGGAGTGACCTGCTCACGCACGTGTGCACGCAGGCATGTTCCCAGGGAGTGGGTCCCGAGCTCTCACCACAGACTTCCCCAGCCCGTCACAGGTCAGAGGTGAGGGGCCCCCAGAGAGAAGGCGAGTCTGTCATAAACCATCTCAGCTCTAACTCGTCAGCATACAGCACGTGGTGGAAGCCTGAGGGGAATGCGGGCAGGCCCGCCTCTCACCTGCAGTTTGAGGCGGTGGGCTTCGATGGGGATAATCTTCAGAATGGGCAGGTCGACCACCAGCACCTTGGGTTTGCTCTTGACGAGACAGCCCCTTTCTATGTCCCAGTCCGCACCTTCCAGATACAGGCCTGAGACGAAGCAGCCTAGAGGCGAGGGGACCTGGGTTCCACCAGATGCGCAGCCAACACCAAGTGCCAGGCTCTCCTTCCCCACAGAGCAGAGGGCCTGTGCCACCCGCAGCCTGGGGACCCTCCACAGCCACATGGCCCATCCCACGGCCACCACAGAGCAGACGAAATGCTCCCTTGCCAGCTGGCCTGAACCTCCCTGCCCAGGACTCAGTCACATACCGGGGGGGGGGGCACTCAGGCTGTGACAGTGAGGAGCCCCAGGGGACAGCTGGCACCATAGCACCCCAAAGGCCCCGTTCACAAGAGTGACTGGGAACAGGGACTGGAAGCCTTGCAGAGCCAGGGGCTCTGGGAAGTGGAGGCTCCAACCAACTTCGTCCATCTTCCTCGCTGGCTCCATTTCCCTGGCCCCTTGGGGTTCACAGGGAGGCCGGTGGGCAGTCTAATCCTTTGGAAGAGCTCACTGTGACCGAGGAACTCTTTTGGCCACACAGGTAGGGTAAGCATGGGTTCAGGTCTCCCTGGCCTCAACCCCACGTCTCATATTGGTTTGCCCCACAGAGATGTCAGCACACAGCCTGCATGGCCACCAGTCCTGGCAGCAGTCTGGTGCACCCTGTGCTCAGCCCTTGAGCTGAGGAGGCGCAGGGAAGAAAACTGGGGTTCAGGGCTGTGGCTCCACATGAGCCAACAGTACCTTGTCCTGCCCGCTCATTCACTTCGTCTGCATCTTGGAACTTGGTCACCTGCGTGAACAAGGTAGAGCGGTCCAGCGGCCAGCCATTCTTCCGGCAGGTGGCCTGCACCAGCGCCGTGAGGTAGGACTCCGGGATGTGCAGGCCTGAGAGCCACATCACGCTGGGCTCACCCTCTGTGACCTGCAGAGAGGAGATGGCAGCTAGTAGGAACAGGTGAATGCCACCCAAACCAGATAAAAGTTGACCAGAGAAACTCAGTATATCCTAAGAGACGCACTTTGCTTCAGCGGAAAAGAGAAAGTGTTGGAAAAACTGGCAGCCCATTTGGAAAAAAACAAGCTGGTTTGCAGATTCCAGATGAACCAAAGATTTAGATGCAAAACATCCATAAAAGTACCAGATCAAAAAAAAACCTCAAATTATTTTGAATCTTAAAATAGGAAATACAAGAACCTATAAACCATAAAAAAAATGATGGATTTGACTGAATCAGAACTTAAAACCTTTCTTTCTGTGGGGGAAAAAAAAAATATATATATATATATATATAAAATAAAGAAAGTCAGACAAGCTGTGGAAAATATCTGCAACATAGGCAGATAAAAGGATGATTTCCTTGCTATACAGAGAGCGCTTAAAAATCAATATGAAAAAGTGAAGAACTCAATAAAAATTAAAAAAAAAAAACAGGATATGAAAAGACAATTCACAGAAAAAGACACAAAATGCCCAAGATTATATAAATTATTCTCAGCCCCACCATGACTCCAGACCCACAGATCAAACCTATCAGAGACCAAGATCCAGGCCCTGAGGACACAGTGTGGCCAAGAGGTGAAGTTTCGACTTCTCCAGAGTCAGCTGGTGAGAGCTACCCGAATTTACAACGCACACCCCCTTTAAACGCAACTCTTACACTGCTAGGAACTTACCCACGGGATGTTGTGGAAGGGGGCAGCCGAGACTACCCTGTCACCTTTCCCTGTGACCCCCAAGTGAACCTTAAGACTGGCCGTGCTGGGCTGGCTTCATAGATGGACAAGAGTGCAGGCTGACTTCTCTCCTACAGTGTCTTCACCCAAAACACAGCCCACAGCAGCTGCTGGCCTGCTGGCCCAGCCCTCCCCTCTTGCCCTGAACACATGGCAACCTTCTCAGGAACCGCGTAGCTCAGCACCTGGCCAAGCGCACTTCCATACCTGCTCCCAGTGAGCAGTGAAGGAGGCCCCTCTCTTGCACCACGAAAGACGGTGTACGGACCACAGACAAGACCTGGGGGCCGCAGGAGAGCAGTGTCTGCTCCTGAAGCTCACCTGGCCTCTTCTCTGTGTGGGCTGCCCTGGGAGGGGGTTTCTCCTGGGAGGGGGTCACGGGTACCACTTGCTCAACTGACACACTCAGGTCGGTGTTGAAGGCATGTGCACAGAAGGCTGCATGACCAAAAACATGGCCACTGTCTGCATGTCCACCAGCAGGGACGGAAGATGGAACATATGTAAAATGGAAGAGACTAAAAAGAATGGGTTGGATCTGTGTGTACCAACACGGAACCATTGCCAAGATACCCTCCTTGTTGAATAAATCATGTTGTGTGTAGTATGCTTCAGAATGTTAACAAAAATAAATAAAAAGGAGAAGAAAGACACAGACATGCTCATAGAATCAGGGACCATTTGTAGAATCCCCAGTCAACTGCTGACAGAGGTCCCTGTTGGTGGCTGGGAGCAGGGGTGGGAGGTGGCTGGAAGGAGTACAGGCTCCGCCTTTTGTCAGCAAAGGCTGATGGTGCCTCCACTCACCCACGATGTGTACTGGCTGAACCGGTGCAAGAAGTAAACCATCCAGTTCCCAAGGCTCTTCAGGGTGTCAGGGGCAAGCTTTCTCCAGATGTCCGGGATATGCCCGACAAAAAGCGACTTGGCTACACCATCCAACTCATTGCTCATCCCGACTTCTCCAGCCAAGGCCTGATTACAAGATCAAGAGAAGGCAAGGAAGACCATCCCCGGACACCAAGCCCCACCCCAGGCCGCCACCTGCACACTAACACGCTCACCCTCTGCAACTCGACCAGAGACCTGGACATCCGTATCACCAGCTTGTTGAAGCGTTCCAGCTCCTGCAGGAGCACCACGGAAGTGGGGGAGATTCCCATTCCAAGGTGCTTCCTGACCTGGTCCAAGTCAAAGACTTTGGGCATCTTGTTTTCGATGTCCTTGGCCACCTGGCCGATGTACTCGTCACGGCTGATACCACTGCTGGATTCCCCTGCAACCAGGGCATCGTTAGAGGAAGCAAAACCTCCGAGTGTGGGGTGGGAGCATTCTGAACCTTCCGACTCTCAGCAACAGTCAGCAGTGTGGGAAACGTTACGACCAAAACAGTCGCGCCGGGAACTGACAGACACCAGACCCCCAGACCCTAACGCCATGCTCCAGAGAGGACCTTACCAGTCTGAGGCTGCAGCTCCAGCAGGCGAGCCCACATGTCCCGAGCCGCCTGCGTGTAGTATCCAATCTCAGCATTGGAATGCAGACCAAACACTTCAGGAGTGTTGGCAAGAGGAAGGGCCTCAATGGCTTCTGCGTCACAGAGAACACAGACAGGTCATACCTTTAAGCTGGCATCCCTCTCTGAGGGCCACAGCCTACACATGCCCAGGGGTGAAGGACCAAGTCCCATCACTTAGTGGGTAATATTTCTACATACACACACACACACACACCATCTGGCTGTATGTTTATCTTTTAGGAACATGGCCCCAAGAGGCTGCTTTTCCAGGTGTGCTCTGGTGTATTTACCATCATCCCAGGCCAGATAATCTGCGCTGGCTCTGTCAGTACCAGCGCTGGGTGAAGCCCACTGGGCCGCCTGTAGGGGGCAACAGGCCATGCCCAACCAGCACAGGAGTCCACTTAGAGGGGTCAAAGGAACTATCCAGCCAACCGCTGAAAACCAAACCACTGAAATGCATGGTCTCACTCAGAGAAACATTAAAAACAGTTTTTAACGTGAGAGAAATCTCACCAACATATTTTTCTTTTACATCACCGGGGGGGATTTTATAGTCCACTTCTTTGTTCCGGAAGAAGTGGAAAGGCTGGAAAGTATCAAAAATGAAATCTCCCAGGTACTCGTCCATGTAGATGGTCAGGATGCGGCGATCGAAGCTGTCAATGGCCCGTCCTCCGTACATGACCTGAAATGACCGAGGGTGCGAGCCTGCCAGGAACGTCGAGCCAACTGGGTGCACCTCGAGGCCCAAAGCCCAGAGGCCTCGCCCAGGGTCAGGAGCACACGCAGGGCTGGTGAGAACCTTGTGGCCCTGGCCACTGTGCACCTCCAGTCACACTGACCCAGGGTATATACCAGAGGGCTTGTCCACACAATCCCACTGCAGTTCTAAGGGACAGTGTCCAAAGGGACAGGCAGCCCTCATGAAGCGCTGGGAACTAGTGTGCAGTCTACAAAATTCCCCCAAAAAGTAACGAACAAATTAATAAACCAAACAACCAAAGACGTCAGCAGCCACTTTGGGTTTAGCAACGCTACTGTCTGGGCAGTACGCAGGCACCGGGGGCACACCCCACGAGCTGTGTGTGAAGTGTGGTCTCCAGAGTAGACATCCTGCCCACTGACCAGGAGAAAATCACTGATGGTTTGCCAAAAGGACAGCCAGCCAGGTCCTGCCAAGTCCCAGCAGACGCCAGGCATGAGCCTGGGGTGGCTCTGTCCAGTTGCAGAGACCTCCACGTGGATGAGCTCACGCAGGAAATGAACCACGAGGGGATGGGTAGGAATGGTGTGTGGGCTCCCAGGGCCCTTCAGCTGAGGGAGGCAGGAGCTAAAGGGAGTTCCCTGAAGATGCCAGAGGACACGGAAAGGGTACCAGGGCCACAGCCCACCTCCAGCCCTCAGAAGGCATCATGGCCAAGGGTCCCTAAGACACTCCTACCTCTCCAATTAGGTACTTGAGGCTGCCCCATGGGATCCTGGGATCATTCTGCTGAAAGGCTTTTGTTAAGTACGTATTCAAAATTTCCATGCAGACCTGAAGAGAGGAAGCACAGGCTTGGTTACGCTGACACCTACAGAGACATCCACATTCTGAGTCTTTGGTCAACGGGCAGAGAACCCCTCTGGCGTAACTGGGCCCCGGAGGAAAGGGCAGGGGAGCCACGAGCCCGCGAAGGAAGTTCTCGCAGGAGCAGCAGCAGCGCCTGTTAACCTGGAAGTCGGACTCGTTGAAGTCATAGTAGACGTTCCAGCCGATCTTCCCGAACTTTCTTCTTTCCTGCACCACGGCGTGGAAAAACGCCAGCACGTACACCAGGGGTTTGAACGCTGGGTGTGGACACTGCTCCAGCATCTCGTGAGAGATCTTGAAGTACGTTGCTCTCATGTTGAGCTTCAGCCCGTTGGGTGGTTCTGTGACAACCTACCAGGAGACAAAAACGAAGCAGACCCCTAAGCAGAGCTCTGCAGAGCACGATAACGTGGACGTCTTGGCTTTTCCCTCATCTCTGACAGCAGTTTTTCCTGTTTCTCCAACAGTAGAATCCTCTTGCTCAGGGCTCAGAGAAGCCAGGCAAAGAGCAAGAGTGAGCCTCACCCCTGAGGCCTGCTTCCAAGTGAGCCTGAGAAGGCTTCTGAACGCCTCTCTGAACCTTGGGATCCTCAACTGTACGTGGAAGGAGCTAAGTCTTCCCTCTAGGAGCTCTGGTGGCGCAGTGCCTAAGGCACTTGACTGCTAACCAGAAGCCTGGCAGTTCAAACCTACCAGCCACTCCTCGGAAGGAAGATGGGACAATCTACTTCCATAGTGATACCGCCTAGGCAATCCAACGAGGGGTCGCTATAAGTCGGGTCCGGCTCGACGGCACATAACAACAACAAGTCTTCTCTCTACTCACCCAGAAAGAGTGATGAAAAACCCTGTCCAAAAGAATTCCCTGACGAATAAATTAAACGAGGCATGCCAACCAACAGAAGCTTCTGCACACGATGATTGGAGTCATACAAATGGGGGTGGGTATCTCAGTGACCTCCTGGTGCTGTCATAGAAATACTCCGAGTAGGCGGCTTTAACAAACAAACTTCTTCTCTCACAGTGGACAAGGTTAGAACTGGGATTCGAGCATGGCTGTCGGAGAAGCCTTCTGTTGTCGCCTCTCGAAGGTCCTTGTCCCTTTTGAGCTTCTGCTCCTGGGAGATCCTCATGCAGCTGGTACCTCCCTTCCCAAGTCTCTGCTTCTCTTACTTGTTTAATCTCTTTTATATCTCAAAAGAGATTAACTTAAAACACTCCCCCCACTAATCCTGTGTCATTAACAACAAAGGCAACCCCTTCCCAAGCTCAATTATAACCATAGGCATAGAGATTAGGATTCACATACACATTTTATGGGGGCACACTTTAATTGCTAACAGTGGGCCCACCACTGGAAATAAAGTAGGATGATTAATAAATTTTAAACAGATAAACACTAACCTAGATATTGTTATAGAAACATACTTAATTGCTAATGACATGCATGGGAATGACCAACACCCAGTTCAGGACAGTGCTAATCTCCAAAGACTAAGTGGTGGGAAGGAGTACTGTCTGGGGTGACCAGCATCCCCCCAGAATTCATGTCTACCTGGAACCTGTGGATGTAGCTGCCTTGGTCCTCTAGTGCTATTCTAGTAGGAAATGCCACAAGTGGATAGCTGTAACAGACGGGTTTATTCTCTTGCAGTTTGTTGTTGTTGTTGTTATGTGCCATGGAGTTGTCTCCGACTCATAGCGACCCCTCCTTGGGTTTCCAAGGCAGTATCACTACAGAAGTAGATTGCCCAACCTTCCTTCTGAGGAGTGGCTGGTGGGTTGGAACCGCCAGCCTTCTGGTTAGCAGTCAAGTGCCTTAGGCACTATGCCATCAGAGTTCTTACAGTTTAGGATGCTAGAAGTCCAAGTTTGTTTGAAGTGCCAGCTCTAGGGGCTAGGTGAAAGCCCCTCGACTTCGGGCTTCAGGTCTGCCTCTTGCTCCTGGCCCACTGGAACTAGAAGCATCTCTTCACTCAGGCAGTTGCTGGCTCCTGAGGCTAACAAGCCCAAGGTCGGCAAGTAAAATGGCACACTCCCAAGATTATTACACATGGCAGGCCACTGGTTCAAATCCAGGGACAATCCTAAAATTGGCAGACAACATGGCAGTATGCTGAATGAAGACTCAGCCAAATGCAGGATTCAGATGTGCCAGGGAGCTCCAGAGACCTGTCTCAGTGCTGCTGCTTACATACTGGAAGCAAACCACATCCCTAAGGTAGCTACTCAGCTGCCCCAGTAGAGTCCACCATGATGAGTTGATTATCGGTCTCATCATGGGTCATAACTACACCCAGCTGCCCAGCCACTCAACCAGGCCCAGCCAAGCTGACACACAACTTAGCTATCACAGTGGTCTTATTTGGAGAGGTCTTTGTAGGTGTGATCAAGTTAAGATGAGGTCATACTGGATTCGATTGGGCTGTAAACCAATTAAAAAAGGGAAATCTGGGCAAAGACACACACACACAGGGGAGAAGGCCACGTGACGGCCGAGCAGAGACCAGCGTGATGCCCCACACGCCAGGGAGGGGCTGGCAACACCAGAAGCTGGGGGAGGGGCGAGGAACAGCTTCTCCCTCAGAGCCCCCACAGGGACCCAGCCCTGGTCACCGCACGTGTGGCCTCCAGAACCGGGGGAGAACCAACTCCTTCTGTTTTGGGCCACCCAGTTTGCCACAATTTGTTACAGCAGCCTCAGGAAACGGATATAGGTACCCTGAGGTTTTAAGTGAATCCTAAGGTTTCTCTCTAACTGCGCACACTCCCACACTCCCACACTCAAGTACAACAAGGCAATGGTCTGAGAAGTCGGGCTGTGGGTACGTGGGTGTCTGTCTGAGGCCAGACCTTTAGGGACTTCTGCAGAATCCCGATGGGGAAGCCCTTGGTGGGGTCTGTGGTGAGCCACAGGCGGAAGTCTGGGTGGGGCTTGGTGACCCTCTCCAGGGACTTCTCCAGATCCTTCAGCCACTTGACCAGGAGGTGGCAGTTCTGTAGCATCAGCCACTGCCCGCGGGCCACCGCCGTCTCCAGCAGCTGCAGTGCCACCTGCACCAATGTCAAGGGAGAAAAGAAGAGTTGGCGTCCCAGAGCCATGGAAAGCCCATGCTCTGTGGAGACACGTCCCAGACCACAGAACAGTAATGGCCCACCCAAGAGGGAGCCACGAAAGCTGGTGCTCCATGAGCTCCAGAGGGGCCTTCAGATGGTCGTTGGGGTTCCCTGAGGGCCACCGGTGTCCACTGGGCTACTCGACATAGGCACCCCTCTGGTCTCCACAACCCCAAGAGCCCCGATTTCTGCAACCCAGTCACCTGCACCCTGACCACCCCATGAAGCTGTGCTGAAGGAAACAAGCTAAAACTCTCCCAGGAAGCAGCACTGGCCACCGTCAGATCCTCAAGGCCCCAAGCATGGAAAATGATCACAGTGTCCCCTCTCGTGTACAGCTGATGCTTGTGACTCGTGGTAGGTGTGCCCTGTAAACTCGCTGAAGACACTGATTTAACGAACATGAGCCTCTGGTCAAGGAGAAACACAGGGTTATGTTCCTCTCAGCCTCTGGTCGCTGTGTTCTGTCAACCCATCAGTACGTAACCTTGTTTCATGTGTTTCTGTGTAAAGACAATCGTATTTGCATATTGTTGATTCATTAGTGGCCAACAGCACTATGTCTCACGCCTCAGCGGAGCTCATCAGAGACACACATTTTCTCCGTAAGGCACACCATAGGCTGCCTGTGCTTAAAACACTACACAGCACTGCAGCTGCACGCTTAGGGGCCATTTTACGCCAGGAAAATCAGCAACGAAAAACACCTACAAATGCACCAGACAGACCATCGAGAAGACCCGTTTCCAGTCTGAGAGCTGAGACGTGGCAGAGTGTTGCTTTGTGCAACCTCGGGCGCAAGCGTGCTTGTCGGGTGACTTGAATATGCACTGTATGCTGTGCGTGTCTGCAAATGACCATGAAAGTGTCGGCAGGAATCTTTTGGGGTTATAAACACATTTTATGGAGCAGGCAAATTTGCAAATACGGAGTTTGTAATTCAAAGTAAAAACAAGCTAAAAACTCAAATAAAATCTTGATTTTAAAATAACCTCAGGCTTACACGAGTGCTGCAGTAAGTGACTTTCCTTGGGTTCCGTGTGGTGAGGAGATGGCTATGCCTGTCAGTGCCCCCAGCTCGCCTCCTAGGCGATCTGGCACGAGGTCCCCCGCCCTCATTTCACGGCTCCCACAAGTGGAGGGTCTGCCAAGGTGGGGCCATAGCTCCCAGGGGCTCCATTCCCTCTGCCCAGAGCCCACAAGTCTGACCACCACACTGTCCCCTGAAGGCTTTTCCTGCCACCTGTTCCAAGCATCCTGACCATCACAGCCAGCTGACAGATGCACTGTGCAGTGTGGAGAGGCGGGCTCGGGAGAGGTGAGTGCCTGGCCCCAGAAAACCAGGTCCCAGAACCGCACAAGCTCTGTGCTGCATGGGCCTGGGCTTGTCTCTCTCACCCTACTTCCTGGGCCAGCCACACAGCAGGAAACAGCAGCCTGACCCACCACGGGGCTGCTGCAAGGACGAGTGTGGTCATGACAACAATGTCGACAGTGACAATGACCGGTGAGAGGGCTCTGAGAAGAACAGGGCACACAAGGTGCCAGGCTATGAAGTCATTACTAATGCAGCCCTTTTCACACACTGGATTACTGCTCCGTAGACAGCAAGTGTGTCCAGCTCCCACGCAGGGCCAGCTCTGAGCACAGCAGCAGAGGTTGGTTAACACAGGCCAGGCCCTCACCTTCTCCTGGCCTTGACCCATGGCAAGGAACTTGAGGCGGTTTCCTCCAAAACCAGTTCGCTCGGCCAGTTTCATGAGATCGCTGGCAGGGTCAGAGCCGGGACTCAGGATGAACACGATGGGTGAATTGGGGGTGCTCTGCTCAAAAATGGCTTCAAAGCTGATCATGGGGGGCTGCACGTACCTGGGGGAGCAAGCAGACAGAGGAAGGGCCAGCCAGGCTGCTCAGTGTCCACCCCTCCCAGCGCCCAGCCTTGGAACCATCACTCCCCCATTTTCTTGGTGTTGGAATGGGCTGGGTGGCCAGCTCCTGGACAATAGGGCCTTTCTGTGCCCCTCCTGCCCAGCTTAGGACATGCGTGTGGGGATTGGTGGACTTATTTTGACCCCTGACTCACCCGCCTTTCTGGTGGACAGCCCCTGGGCACAAAACCCAGAGGCCCCACACTGACAGCCCCACAGGTGTGTCCCAAATCTAGGGATCTTTTTAAAATTAATTTTGAAATTTTTTAAGTGTTTCAAATTAAAACATAGAAGTAGTTTTCTTGTAAACTCTCACACTTGTAGTTCCTTTTGAAGAGTCTGGCCACTCTGGGTCTACACTACCATCCGTCACCACCCAGTCACAGCAGAGCCCAGGGGCTGTGGTCCCCAGGGATTGGGACTTGGCCTCGCCAGCTTGCCACAGCCCCACCCAGCCTGATGCCCACCAGGACGGGTGTTTGAGTTTGCCCCCTAAGCTTTCTGCCTGGCCTCACACTCAACTCCACAGCTTCCCTGCCCAGAGCGGCAGCCACCAGGCCCACGTGGCTACGGACTACTTGCTACGTGGCTCGTGCAGGCTTGAGACGCGCTGTAAGTGTGGATCCACCCAGAGTGTGGAGACTTTATACAGAGAGAGGATGGTAATAGCTCACTAATTGTTTCTACTGACGACATGTTGAAATAATATGTTTGTACACTGAATGAACTGCACCTGTTTCTTTTCACTCTTCTTAATGTGGCTGCTAGGAAATCCGAAATGACATTTGTGGGTCACATTGTATGCTGTATGGCTGCTGGTGTTCTAAAGGGGCTATCAGACAAGGCAGGGCTGGGGCAGCTGTCTTCCGGGGCCAGCCAGCCACAGCCTCTGTGAATCCAGGTGGGACGATGGGAGAGTCCACCCTAAGAAAGAGCCAAACACAAACGACTCACTCACTTCTCTCCCATTGTCACGGTCACATAGTCGGTCACTGCCCGGTACACCCGATCCACACGGAAACAGCGGAGAATCAGCAACTTCTGGAAAGGGTTGGTGTTTTTATCATAACCCAAGGGGAACGGAAACTGCTCCAGCGAATCCAGGTCGTACCACTGAGGAAGGCAAAAGACATCACTGCGGCGTCAACTCGGGATTGACGGGGCTCCACCTTCAAGTGAGGGGCCCAAAGGCTACTGTCAGGAGATGGCAATCTATACATGTATGGACCCCAAGGCTTCTTCCAGTTGGCTCTGTCATTTTCTACCCCCAAAACTATGAACTTCAGGAAGAGAGGGGCCCAGGGTCCATCAAGGGACATGGTGCATGGTAGATGCTCACTATTTTTTTGGACAAACGGATGGATGGATAGATGGATGGACGGATGGACAGATGGATGGATGGGTGGACGGATGGGTGGATGGACAAATGGATGGAGGATTCTCTCACACAGTTGGATGAAGCAGAATAAAGAATAATTCTATCCAGGGAGTTAGTTGGCAAGGGTTACTCAAAGGAGTGTCTCCTCACTCGTGAGAGTTTAAGGCAAAGTTTAAGGTTGCTGAGGAGCAGGGAACGTGAGAGGAGAGAACACATGGGAGCTCACTTCCTTCCAGACAACTTGGTGCTTCTCCACATCGTCAGGAAGATTCCCAAAGTTGGCTGCAAACGTTTCTGACAGAAGGATGATGTCTTCCCAGCCCTGGTCAGACAGCCAGGCACACGGCTTCTTCCGTTTGCTCTTCTCCAGGGAGATGTTTCCTAGTCACAGAGGAGACACAGCCACTGTGAGGCTGACGCCAACACAGGGGAAGAGGACAGCCACTCATTATACTGCTGCCCTCACCACGGGGAATGTCCACTGCCCAAGGAGGTTGGACAGAGGAGGAGGGATAGCCTGCCCTTGTCCCTGCTGGTGGCTTTAACCAGGCAGCTTGGGGCAGCTTCCAACCTCAGGGCAGCTGTAGGCTCTAAGTCAAACCAGACTCATTTTTGAAACTGGAATTGGTAACTGAAAAGCAACTATGATTCCAACTCGTGGCGACCCTAACAGGACAGAGGAGACCTGCCCATCGGTTTCTAAGGCTGTAATCTTTATGGAACAGACGGCCACATCTCTCTCCCACAGAACGGCTGGCTGGTTCAAAGTACTGACTTTTCAGTTTGCAGCTGAGCACTTAGCCAGCCCCTAAAGCAGCTCTCTTAGAAGCCGACCTTTAAGGAGAAATGTTATTGACATGTTTGTTTTAATGAACAAATGTATGCACATGTGCAATGTGTATCAAGGAAGGTTGGAGAATGGAAACCAGGCCAACTCATTACCTTTTAAAAAGAAGTCCAGCTCGTCCTGGGGCACACGCCCTTCGGCCTGCTCCATCTTGACCGTCATGTTGAAGGAGAAGAGTAATTTGTGCCTCTCGAACAGGCCTGGCGGGAAGCACCGGGTGGGCAGGGATTACAAACATGGGACTGAGCTGCTTCTGCACAGGATGCTTAAATTTAAGGAGAATGGACCGAAACAGCCAAACGGCATGGCTCCTTGTAGTCCTCTCTGCATTGACGTCAACGAGTGTGAAAATCGTGGCCCAATCTAGAGGCCTGCCCGCCAGTGCGCCCTGCAGTGACCTCCCCCTGCTGAGCATCTGAACGGGCATTTCTGCATGTGGCGCTGACCACATGCCTCCGGAGAGTGAGGGAAGGGCAGGACATCAGAGGTCTAGCGCCACCTTCTCAGTGAAGACGATGGCCCGCCTGATTCCAAGCAGATGGTAAACATTTTTGGCTTGGTGTCTCATAACTATTCAACTCTGCTATTGTTGGAGGAGGTAACGTGCATACAAATGGGTCTGGCCCTGTTCCAATAAAACTATTTACAAAAGCACACAGTGGGTCAGACTTGGCTTTTGCCGGCCTTTGTTTGGCAATGCTTATTGTAGAGTAAACACACTCCACCAACAGTCTCTACCGATAAAAAACAAAACCAAACCCACTGCTGTCGAGTCAATTCTGACTCATAGAGACTCTAGGATGGAGCAGAACTGCCCCACGGATTTTCCAAGGCTGTATCTGTATGGAAGTTGACTGCCACGTCTTTCCTGAGGAGCAGTTGGTGGGTTCAAACAGCTGACCCACAGGTTAGCAGCTGAGCATTTACTCACTGTGCCCTCAGGGCTCCGTGACTCCACTGATCCAAACCAAACCAAACCCATTGCCATCAAATCGATCTGACTCAGAACAACCCTAGGACGCAATTGCCCCATAGGGTTTCCAAGGCTGTCATTGTTACAGAAGCAGCCTGCCACATCTTTCTCCCATGGAGCTACAGCTGAGTTCAAACTGCCGACCGTTCAGGCTGTGGATCTGTCCAGTCCACTGGCCTAACTTGTCTCCAGCATCTCTAGTCTACCTCCTAGTTCAGTGAGTAGCTTCCTAGCAAACACTCAAGAGACAACCAATGGTTTCAATTTGCCTGGAACAACAGAGGAAGAAGGGGACCCAGGAATCGCAGAAGGAAATGGACTCCAAGTCTAATTGCCTCCATGAATTACTGCCTCCTCTGCCATGAGACCCAGCTACCATTACCAAACATTTGATGAATGAATGACCTGCTAGATCCTGATCAACAGGAGGAAAAATGTGGAAAAGAACTTCAAACTGTTACAGAAACCAGACTTACTAGATACAGTAAGAGTGGAGTAACCCCTAAGTGTACTGCCTGGAAACAATTTTTGAACCTGGAACTAAAACTATCCCTTGAAGTCATTTTTAAGCTAAACAACTGTTTAGCTTAGTTACTAAAGAATGTTTGCCTTAAACATTTCATTCTTTTCAAGAATTGTCTCTATGAGACAACAGAAACCATAAAGCACAAATGAGAACTTTAAAGGGCAGAGTGTCTCTAGGGTTGATGGCAGGGAAATAAGGCAGGTAGAAATAGTGACAAGGTGACACAGTGTGAAACATGTAACCTCTGTCACTGAACTGCACACACAAAAACTACTGTAGGGGTGTATGTTTTGTTGTGTTATCTTCACCAAAAATACTTTTTCCTGAGAGCTAAGAGTAGATACATTTAAAAAACAAGAATAGAATCCTTGTTTTGAAAATGAATAGCAACATGTCACTTTAGTTTTGTGCATTTCACTGTACATAAATTATATTTCAATAAAATATATTAAAAATAAATAAATAGCAACAGCCAAAGAGTTTCTGGGAATTAAAACTATGGTGGTGGGAACAAATGGCTCAACCGAAGGACCAGAAGATGAGCTGTGCACAGGGCATGTTGCTGTGAAACTGAACGACTGCCCGAAGCCTAAGCGCCTGATCACGTGCAGAGGACGCACCTGTGCACCCATAGTTATAGATGTTGAAAGTCAGCGTGTCCATGATGTTCCTTAACCGCTTCATGAGGATGGAATCAGGCAAGGACTTCTTTAGTGACAACCCGAAGACCTCCAGGAAGGCGATCAGGGAGTACTGGTACATGGAGTTGACGAGGGCCATCTCGGACAGGACAAAGAAGAGGATGGCGCCCCTTTTGGCAGCCGGCCGGTAGCCATCTCGCAGCCTGTCGATGTCCAGAGCTGTCTTCTCTGCCAGCTTGAGCTTTTCTGATACCTAGAGCAAAGGCACACATCACCAAGGAATCTGCTCTACATAAAAGGCACTGCCCGATGGAAACGAGGCAGGCTCATGCAATGGACAAGAAAGTCAGACAGGGGTGGCATGGGGGGATAGCCCAGACATCAGTGTGATGCTCGCAAGGATCTAACAGCACCTGGGACTGGATGGGGTCAAGAGCAGGGACCCGCCTGGGGCACCTGGTGGAACTGTGTGGCTTGACGCCTGTTATGGTTTGCATTGTGTCCCCAAAGACATGCTGAAATCCTAACCCCTGTACCACGAGTCTTGGTGACCTTGTCTGGAAATAGGGTCTCTGAATACGTACGCAGTGACATTAACATGAGGTCATACTGGAGTAGGGGAGGTCCTAGTCCAGTTAAGTGGTGTCCTTATAAAAGAGAAGAGACAAAGACACACAGAGGCCAGAGCCATGTGATGACAGAGGGAGAGTCAGCTTCCAGCCAAGGAACAAGTGGGGCTACCAGGAGCTGAGAGGAAATGGGCCTCCCCAATAGCACGGCTCTGCTGACACCCTGAGTGCAGACTTCTGGCCTCCAGGACTGGGAGGCAGTAACTTCCTGTTCCGGTAAGCCAAGTCTTTGAACCGGTTCACAATGGCTCAGTAACTGCCCTCATAAACAAGGGCTGCATACATGTTGCACACCAACTCAACCTGTCACTCATGGTATTTTGACCAAAGTAGGAAACAAACAGTCTGTGCCCCGCTCAGAGTCCTGCCGATAATCCCATCCCCCGCGTCGGCTGCTGAAACTGTCAGAAGGAGGGCTGTGCAGGACTTCTGAAGAGCGGTATCATCGGCGGGACCCTGAGGAGCAACGTGCTCAAAGCACTGTGGTGTGCCGCCATCTTTGCGTGGACACAGCTGTTTGTTTCCTACTCGGGTCAAGATACACAGGCAAGAGATCTGGTTGCTATGCAACACGTATGCAGTCCTTGTTGACAGCAATTACTGAACCATTTTGAACTGGTCTGAAGCCCTATTATAAGCCACCCAGTTGGTGGTATTTTGGTACGACAACCCAGGAAACTAAGACAACTGCCCTGCAACCATGCCCCTTTCTTCCAGAACAGCCCTGATTGCTACTTGAAGACTCCATTTTCCCCCATTCATTCCATACATGAGACTCCACCCCAACTCTGGATAAGCATGTGACCCAGGCCAGCCAATCAGGATAGCATCCAAGTCATGGGAGCTGGTGTGAGGGTGACTCAGGACCTTCACAATTCTCACTTTTCCTCTTTGGACTTGAACCTGAGAGGATATGAGGCCATGAGCAGAGGTTTGGCTCCATGGGGAAGCTGAGAATGGAACCAACCCAAGGGATAGCGCAGCCCAGAAATGAGAGAAACTAAGCCCTGAGGATATGTTTGCTCAATGCCCATAGAGATTCCAGCTCCAGTGATGAAAACGTTTTGGAAATCGAAGGTACATATACATTGTAAATACAATTCATGCCACTGAAATTGAATACTGAAACACTGTTAACATGGCAAGTTTTATGTCGTATGTACATCATAGATTTTTCATCTAATGCACGCCAGTAAACGACATGCACACATATGTACCATTCACCATATGCACAGGAAGCTAGCACAAGGGGGTTGGGAAATTTGAAAAAACAAACAAAAAAATGATATAATATGTGTTATTTGCATAAAATATGGTATGGTATATGCATTTCATGATTTAAAAAAAGGTAATAGCTTGGAAATATGCCTCAGGACCCTGGGCTGCGTATGCTCTATCTCGTCACTTTCACGCCCACACCAACTATGGCAGGGCCCTCTGGCTCTGGGACCCAGCTCAAGTGGCAGCAGAAAATCCACCATTACATCTCATTCGGTATTGCCTTCTCATGGGCCAGCCTTCCCCACCCCGAGGAGGATACAGATTCAGTCAATGAGAGACACTGGGTTTCTGAAGATGGGACAGCCACTCTGCATGAGTTTGCTGTGGACGACCAAGAGGTGGGCAAGCTTTTATGAAGTTTCAGATTTTCTCTGAATACAGCAATAGTCAGGTCGAGAACATACCAAGATCCAAAGTGCTCCTAAACCTGGACGGCCCCTGGAGGCCAAAAATGCAACCTATAGGACTACTATCAAGGCTGGTGTCCCAATGAGAGCAGAAGGTGAAGAGACCACTGTCCCAGGCCCAAGCCTGGCTGCCCACTCCCTGCCCCCACTTATACCTCTGTAGCCTTGGACTTGGTTTCCTCCAGGGTTTGTACCAGCTCAACATTGTCCAACATATTCCCTGTGGAGGTGGCCAGTTCTCGAAGGAGGGAGTCTTCCAAGTCCTTGAGCAGGTTCTTGTTCTCACTTGTCTCCTGGATGAGGTGTTCCCTCTGCTCTTCCAGCTCTCTCCTCTCAAAGGCCACCAGCACACTCAGCAGCTGATCTTCAAGGCCTTTCAGTGTGACTGTGGAGTGGGAGGGGGGCAAGGAGAGGCCTCAATGCTGGGTCTCCATGACCTACACAGCAGTGACCTAGGGTCTAAACCAGTGTTTGAGGAGCACGAGAATTGACTCCTCTACAAAAATCACCCTAAATGAGCAAAGGAAAAACTACCAGATTAAATGGAGATGTTGCTGTAAGAGTGAAGACATGTACAGACAAGGAGTGAAGACAGGCACACTCAAACACAATCCAGGGCTTCCACATGCTGGTGAACCCTAATTTAAAATAGACCCAAAACTAGTGAGCTTATTTAAGCACATGGAACAAGGGGTATCATTGCTGATGTCAGATGGATCTTGGCTGAAAGCAGAGAATACCAGAAAAAAATGTTTAGTTGTGTTTTATTGACTATGCAAGGCATTTGACTGTGTGGATCCTAACAAATTTTGGATAACATTGTGAAGAAGAAAAGGAACTCAAGAACACTTGATTGTGCTCACGTAGAACCTGGACATAGACAAGAGGCAGCCATTCAAAAAGAATGAGGGGATACTGCATGGTTTAAAACCAGGAAGGGTGTGTGTCTGGGTTGTATCCTTTCATTATAGTTATTCAATCTGTATGCTGAGCAAATAGTCCAATAAACTGGACTATATGAAGAATGGGGCATCAGGATTGGAGGAAGGCTCATTAAAACCCGCAATATGCATTCCAAAGGGGCCCCAAACCTTCTAGATTGTGCTTAATTGTCAAGAACCGACCAGTTCAGATGTGACTATGAGAGAATGACCTGGGGCACCTGAATAACGTGATGGCCCGTGGAAGCCTCCATCTTGGATTGTGGCCTCCATGGTAACCACCTTAATTTGCAGATGAGGTTCTGTACATTCTTACCAGTGTAATTGATCACCATCGCTTTCCCAAACACCGATGGGGAGTATCTGGGATTGGCCAGCTTGGTATTGAGATACAGTCGGAAATTTGAGTCATAGTCAACTTCCTTGTCTCCAAGTATGATAAACTGCCGTCCTTGGGAGAATTTTATGTTCTTTTCTAGGACATTATCAATAACAGGATCGATGTACTCATCAACGTCATGGAACAGGAAAGGAGTTCCATACTTTATGGACATCTCCAGCTGCTTAAGGAAGTCAGGGTCATTAAAGGAGGCGACCTGCAAGAGAGGGGAAGCAGGTGCTGGAAGCTGGCCTACTTAACTGTACCCTCAAAAAATCCAAGGGAATACTGCCTTGGAAGGGGAAAGTGAGCATGTCATGACCTTAAAGAGAACCCAAGAGGGAAAAATAATAGGGAGGGAAGCGTGGTATGTAACCCGTATGCACCCAGGAATCCATGAGGTTCAGGCTCAAAGGAGCATCTCATTCAAAATCACAGCTCAGTGGCCAAAGTAATTACAAGCAAATTTCATTCTTTACTCACATCTCTCAGATCTCAAAAGGAATCCAAACACAGAGTCCACAACCCTAATTCCCCTTTCTTTATTCGCTTTGCTCACAGCTCCAGACTGACCTAACGTCTCTTTCCTTAAAACACCTGAAACGACGCTCTCTAACTCCTGGGGCTTCCCTTCCTCTGCGCCCACTTCTCCTACCACATCATGATGACCTCTCTCCCCAAGTGCCAGGATCCTTCCTTTCAAAGAGGTGGGGTGGGAGTAGGATGGGGGGGCACTTTCAGAGCCCTCTGACAGGCTCAGGAAGGGGGAGACCTACAGACACGCCTGTGTTGGTAGCGTTTGTCCACTTCAGTTGTATGTGAAGCTGAGAGGCAGAAACTCCCTGATTGGGCACATCAATACCTGGAAGCAAGGGCTCGAAAACAGAAGGGAAAGTTAAAACTGAAAACTGCTAACTGATTCACTTCTTCACCAGACAGTGATCAAGGCCCATCAATTCCGATTCCAGGTGTATAGCCAAGAGGAAAAAAAAAATATACGTGCAGGTAAAAATGCAAACATTCACAGCACCACTACTCCCAACAGCCTAAAAGCAGAAAGAAGCCCAACGTCTGTCTGCTGCTGATGAACAGCTAACGGAGACGTGGCACATCCAAGTGACAGAATTTAATTCAGCTGTGAAAGGGATGAGGCTCTGACATATGCCACAGCGCAGGTGACCCTGGGAAACAGCCCACTGACCGAGAACAGTCACCAGGACCACACACCCTGTGACTCCATTGCTAGGAAACGTCCAGGGCAGTCAAAGAAGAGACATCAAGTAGGTTAGTGGCTGCCAGGGGCCCTGAATTTACACTTCGAGCCTCTGAAACTTCTGCTTGTTAAAGCCATCCCCTCGTGATACTTCCGTATAGCGGCACTGGGTCACTAAGGCGGATGATCTATCAATGATACCTCAGTCAAGCTGTTAACCACCCCCCAAGACAAACACACACACAGTGACTGGGCATCTGCCGCCACCAGGCCTGTCTTGGGTGGGGGAGCACAAGCAGGAGAAATCGTGACCTGGGCCCATCATGCAGCTCACAGCCCAAGAGCAGCTGTGCATGTAAAGGAGAGAACTGTGCAAGGTGCCATGGCCCCGAAGAGGCTCTGCAGGGCCAGCAGGCAGAGGACGGTGCTGGGTTCTGCTGGAGGTCAGGGGGCTGGAGGCACGGGGCCACCAGAAAAGGGGGCTTAGCCTGAAGCTCTGCTCTGAGAAGGAGAGGCACAGCGGGGGGACGTGGGGCTGCGGGGGGACGTGGGGCAGCGGGGGGACGTGGGGCAGCGGGGGCACGTGGGGCAGCGGGGGGACGTGGGGCAGCGGGGGCACGTGGGGCAGCGGGGGGACGTGGGGCAGCGGGGGCACGTGGGGCAGCGGGTGGACGTGCGGCAGCGGGGGACATGGGGCAGCGGGGGGACGTGGGGACAGGCTGTACCCGCAGGTTGTTCTTCTCCTCTTTCCTCTTGATCCAGTTGAGGGCCTGCTGCTGGGGGTCGATGCACAGGGGGAAACGGCTGGCCCTGGTGGTGAGGATGCCGTTCTGGATGGAGAGCTCATCGGGTGGCAGCCCCTGGGAGCCCCACCTGGAAGGGAGAGTAGCAGTGACCAAGGGTGGGGGACGGTGGGACAGGCCGGCCAGGACAGCCCACCAGCCCTAGGCTCTGGGGACGGGCAGCTCAGCCTACCATTTCTATGCAGTTGAGTCAGCTGTGGCCCAGGCCATCACCCACCCACCAGTCCCTGCCCTGAGCCAGGGTGATGTCACGCAGCCCCCCGGCCCCAGGCCCCCTGCCTTCCTGGCTCAGGCAGCACATACCTGCTAACCTCCACATCATCCGTGAGCAAGCTCTCCAACCTGAAAGGCTGGCTCAGGGGAATCCCACGCTCTAGGATGTCATTTTGCCAGACTTGATTGACCATCTCATTCCGGAATTCCCACGTAAAGGCTCCCTCGTAACTCAGGAAAGCTGCGCACAGCAAGCAGTCCCCCAGTAACTTCACTCGGCGGTGCATCAGCTCGTCCAAGTCGTTCAGCCACCTGCCAGGGAAGAGCAGGACTGCAGTTGGCAAGGGCCTCCCAGCCGCCATCCACAGGAAAGTTCTAGAAGGACCAGCCTGCTGCACTGCTAATGGGGATCTCCGCTCCATAGCTGCCAGTTTGCCTAGTGAACCTGACATTTTGCAAGGCTCTGTCCCACTCCCAGGTCAGCAGAGTTCAGCATCAAGTCCTCAGTCAGTGCCTCTGCCTCACGGCGCCCCCACGGGGATCACAGCAGAACTGTGCTCCGTGGGGTTGTCAACGGCTGTGACCTTTCAGAAGATCACAGGTCTCTCAGATGTTGAGGAACTCCCGGGCCGTTCTTCTAAGGCACCTTGGGGTAGAATCAAACCTCCCACCTTCTGGTTGCCAGCCGAGCATTTAACCACGAGCACTGCCCACGGACTCCACCTCGCAGGGGCCAAATCAGTCAGTGGCTGTGAGATGCATTCGGGGTCAACACCATTTACTAAGCAGCAACGACACTGCTCACAAACGTCAGTCAGAGGCAAACACACACACTGATCACTGGGCTCAGCACGAGGGCCAGCAAGGTCTGCTCTGCATGGCGGCAGGCGTCTACCCAAGAGAAAAGAAAGCAGCGTGTCACTTGGCCTCTTCTGGGAAATGTCCAAAGTCTACTACCTTTAGAAACATTAAAAGTTGTCCGTGCCCCTCCATACCAGTATTCTAGATGCCAGATTAGAAACTACCGTCCCAGCCGGTGGACCAGCTGTGCTCAGTGGGTTTGCCCTTAGCATCAGCCAGTCCCACTGCAGTGCAGTGAACTCCTTAATACGGCCCTTGTAGCCATCATCCCCCATCTTGTGATGCATTGTAAATCCTAACCCCCAAGCCTGTTTATGGGCGCTCTGGTGGCACAGTGCATAAAGCATCTGACTGCTAACCAGAAGGCTGGTGGTTCAAACCCACCAGCCACTCCTTGGAAGGAAGATTGGGCAATCTACTTCTGTAGAGATACCACCTCGGAAACCCAAAGAGGGGTCACTATGAGTCCAATCGACTCGACAGCAATGAGTTTGGTTTTTTGGATGCCTGTTTAGGGTGGGATGCATCTTGAGTTCTGCCTTGCTGGAGGGTGTGACCCAAGTCACCACCATTTTGTGATGTATTATAAATTATAAATCCTATTCTCTATGCCTGTTTAGGGTAGGATATATCTTGAGTTCCACCTTGCTGGAGGGCATGGCTTAAGTCACCATCCTCTGCTTCCTTGAAGATGTACATAGGAATGTTCTGGGAAGGTTCACTCTCTATCGTGCCAGTTTTGCATTTGGTTCATCATCATCTCACCCCTGGACTTGACACAGCTGTTGTCATCTGACCCACCAATTTGGGTTCACCAACCCCTGCAAACATGTGAGCTGGGAGAATCCTCCAGAACTACCCACAGACCTGGGCCTGGGACTTGCCAGCCTGCCAGCCTCCCAGCCTCCACCACCACGTGAGCCATTTCTTTGGGAGCTGGTGAGTTCTATGAGACATTACAGCAAACTACGAAACCCTAAGATGGGAGGGAGACTACTGAGGGGAGGAGGAGTTGATGTCAGAGATGATGGAGTGGCATGGCATTTTGGAAGAGTTGGACACCTGGGACATCTTTCACCTCCACTTCATAGGGACCAGCCTTGTACTGATCTTTCCAAAAGAAATCATTCAAGCAGTTGGTGTCACAAGTGGGCTCTACTGCTATGGCCCAGACTCACTGAAATATGTGGGTTTTGGGAAAAGGAGATAAATGGGAGAGTAAGAAATCTTTTGTTTCTATATGGGTTGGTTTGAGATGGAAACAGCTGTTTTGTTGAGATCAGTTACCCAAGACAAAAGCTACATGACACTGAAGGCCAGTGAGGTATCTTCCAGCTATAGACTCTTCCAGAACAGGGCAGGGGACCAGAGGTCATGAGTGGTAAACATTCCTAGGGCCTAGGGTGCCTGTCATGGGCCACTGGTTTCTTCTTGTCTCCACTGCTCTGCTGCCTCATTGAACCTTAGTGATTACTTAATAAATAATACTCAATACCTGATAGAAGCAGAATATATAAAACAGCCATTACCCACATTAGATACAATATGGTAAAATAGGAACCTGTCATATGGTTCTTGGATAAAAATACAACACAGAATAAGGAATCAATAGGGCAAGAAATTCCATTTATGACCTTCATGTGCAAACAACAAGGCTCTACGAGAACTGCAGTAAATTCTTGTTGTCTGTGGTCACTGTGGTCGATACAGTCACCAAGACACTCAAGGAGACAACACTGAGCAGCTGCTCCTGAGGACATACAGGGTTAAGCTCCTGCAAGGCTCTGGTCACAACGTCTTCATCAACTACTCGCTACGCAACCTTGTCTTAAGTGTGTGTCTGAAGATACTCTGGTACTGCTGATTCCTTAGCAGTGAGCTCATGCCCAGCGCAGATCATCTGCACATCATTTCTCCGTAAGACACACCACAGTCTTGGTGCAGTTAGGGACACCAGACAGCACATTAGCACCCCATCTGGGGCCATTTTAAGCAGTAAAATCACCAACAAAAATGTGAAAGATGTGGCATTACAAAGACCAGACACTTGTTTACAGTCCGAGAGCTGAGATGAGAAGACACAGCGTCACCTGAAATGTTCAACCTCAGTGGGAACGTGCATGTGGCAACTCACGTTGACCACCCCACTCCCCTCTGCAAAGGGCTACAAAAGTGACACTCATGTTCATCTTTGGGTTACAAGTAAATGTTGGCAAGTAGGCGATTTCCCCAATACAAAATCTGCAAATAGCAAGTATCTACTGCATTTACCTGCATTTGTTACCCATACTGACCTGATGTTTTCAGACCCAAGACCTGAGATGAGCTTGTCCGCTGCAATTAGCCGTCTCTCCATGATTTCAGCTTCTTCCTGCAGCATTTGCTTTTCCAATATGGCTGCCTCATATTTGGCCCCAAGAGCTTCCAGTTCTTTCTGGATTGTGGCCAACTCATTCTGGATCCTTTCCAGCTCCCGTTTAGTTAGGAAGAAGTTCCGCTCCAGCCTGGCCACCTAAGTAAAGACATTCACAGAACAACGGGGCAGAGGGCTGAGTGGGGCAGGGAGAGTCTCACACCTCTCTGGAGACATGGAGACTGGATGAACCCCCAAAACCGCTGCCCTGAGATCATTTTCAAACTGAAAATAGGCCCCACACTCTTCTTCAAGCGGAACAACAGTTTAGCTTAACTAGTAAAAAATGTCCGCCTTGAACTTGATGCTCTTTGAAGAATAATGTATATGGGATCAAATTAACAAAAGCAACTCGAAAGCTTGGCTAGGATGCTTGAGGGGCAATAAGTTTATGTTGATAGAGGAAGAACAACTCGGAAAAGGAGAATGGTTGCACAACTTAGAATCCAATCCATGTCAGTAAGTTGTACATGCAGAAACTGTTGAATTGGTGTATTTTTGCTGTGTGTACTTTCAACAACAAAAGAATAGCTTCATACCTGGACTTACGTTCACACTACATTTCTAAGAGTGTTCAAACTCTTCAGGGCCACCTTATGGCACTACTGAGGCCCATGCCTCCTTCCCTGAGGTATATTTTCAACAGTTTCCTGCAAGGGTTCTACCTTCCTTTTGAAAAGGCATCCTGCACCAATGTCAGCAGATGGTCTAATGTCATGTGTCCTTAGGCCACAGGAACATGACCTTCATACATGTGAAAATTAGATGACCCATGGTTCTAAGTTAAAAACTCAGAAGAATACATTCTGGACATTGTTT